ATCTAATTAAAAAATTTGTATGTCATTAGTGATGAAATTGATGATAATTTTTATCATTTTCAATATTAATTAATGTAAGAATTACACAATATTTACCATCTTAACTTGTACACTTAAAAAGGCTCTTTAATTTTTAATTTATTTTTTAATCTTAAGTTATATAATTGTACATAACACTCTCTTAATTAACCTTTAATATCTTAGTATATCCCACCTACATACTATATATATACTAGTAAAAGGAGATTACCCTAAATTAAATAGGTTGTTAGCTTTTTTTTTTTTTAATTTTTATTTTAGTTGCACAATAAAAGACAACAATTTCGTATTTTTTATCTTACCTTACCCACATGCTATATGATTCAAACTCAGAATCGTTTATTTCCAGTGAAATAAAATGACTACTAAACTACTTAGATCATTGTTAAATAGGTTGTTAGCTTTTAATTTTGGATTTATAATTATATTAATGTAGTCAAACGAAGTTGATTAGTGTTTGGTTGGGGTACTAGTTTATGATTTCAGGAAGTAATCAAGATCAAAACGGCTGTGGCTAAATAAAAACAACATCAACGGCTTACGCGTATTGAGGTGAAGAGGAGTTGGGCGTTTCAAGTGAAAAGATTAGAAAGAACTTGGGCTTGGGCTGGGGCTCAAGTGCTGTAAGTATGGTTATATGTTTTACGTAAATCAGGCTAATCTTCCAATGTGGTCCAATAGCACAATTCAGGCCTAAAATTTTGTTTTATATTTTAAAATAAATATTTTCTTTTTGTTAACTAAGGATTTTGGAGATAATTATGTGTTTATCTATATTATCTTCTAAAAAAAAGAGGAACCCTTTTTGTTAGGATGATTAATTGAAGTAGATAGATAATGATAATGTTAGAATAGAAAAAAATATTTGTTTATCTTAAAAAATAAAAAAAATGAATTTAAATTTAGAGTAAAAAAATGAAATTATTTTTTTTGATACATCTGATAATAATTAGTTATACAAGATGAGATAACCTTTCTTTTTCTTAAATTTCTCTTTACTCAACTTAAAATTTAAATTTAAAATTTTCAATTTAAAATTTTAAACTCATTATCATTGAATTTCCCCTTAGAGTTAAAAAAATGACATTATTTTGCTACTGAATGAGTAGCTACCTACTTCCTCTATCTCAAAATTCTTTTACTTATTTTGAGAAATAGATAGGTTTAGATCACCTATATATTTTTTCTCTTAAAAGATTAAGAATTATATCTCTTGATAAAACAATTTCATTTTGTATTGTAATTATAATATTTGTATTATTTTATTACCAAATCCTGCAATATATAAGATCAAGAGAGATAAGGAGTTATTCACTTCTTTTCCCGTCTCTTTCTCACCCAATCCAAAATGGATTATGTCATGAAATCTCCCTCAAGATATGGGAAATCCGCATCTAATTCCTTTGTTAAACTTTTAAAACATACAAAATCTTGTAATTAGATCCCACTTAATTTCTTAATAAATAGAAGAGAAAGGCAAATCTAAAAGAAAATTATAAATTCAGTTAAAATCACTATAAAATTCTTAACATGGCCTTGAAACTTGACAAACTTGACATATTATTATTTTTTTAACAATTCTCCAAAAAATTGAATTTAAATCATCGTCCAAAAAGAAAAAAAAAAAACACTTAAACATAGTTGATTGCCACTTGGCGTTGGACCAAGTGCAACTTGGCATATTAATAAATGATTCACTTTTCTCATTTAAAACGCATATATTATTGTAATTATATTATTGTCGAGTAAAATTCTGGTCCCCTCTCTAACCTATATCTACCCTACAACTTCCAGAGGATACATTCATAACACATTCATAAATAAACAGTGCAATCCATATTCAATGTTTCAGATATCCAGCTAGAAAGTCTTAATGCAGACACATACGGAGAGCCTGAGACGGAAATGTGGGGGATGGAGTAATGGTGCAAGGGACGAAAACGAGAGACGAAAATAAAGGACGACAGGTTATACAAGGGGTCAAATTAATAATTGCATCACATGTATAAATCTTGCATAACCTGTCGTTTTTATTTTTGTTTTCCGTTTTCGTCCCTGCATCATTACTCGTGGGGGATGTATAGAGTCCAGCTGCAATAACTCATCTTGCACAGAATCACAGAGTCAGGCCCCCCCTCTAAGCATCTAATGCATTTTCAACATTAATTCTTAACAGAAAAAGAGTACTAGAGGACAAAAACATGGCTGTGCATATATGGTATCGTATCCCCACCACCCAGTACGTATGTCCAGCCAAAAATTCCTGCATTTTTATTCTTTACCACCATGTGGGACTTTGTGAGGTTTCAAAATTCAAAGCTCTAAATACAATCATGCCCATGATTTGAAACCCTGAAAATCATCAATTTTCATGGTCTTTCTAGTGACAGCTACTGACAAGATCCTAACAATTCGGTTATCCACTTTTTTTTTTTTTTTGAGGGTTATTCACTTGATTCTCAATCTCAACTAATTTTTGTTATTAAAATAAAATTTAGTACAACCCATAATATCAAAGATCTCAGAAAATGCATCTCACAAATCACAATACATAACTACAAATTAAGTATCTGATTTTTCTCTTAGTGAAAAAAAACTCTAATATTAAGGTTATAATTTCTACTTAATAGTTATAATTATTTTATAATTTATTATAATTTTAATTATAAAATATTTTTTTGACAAAAAAAAAATAATTTATTATAATTCTCACTAAAAACTACCTTTTTTTTTAGAAAAATAATAATGGGATGTACGTAAGCTTCGCTATCTCTCTTTTTTTTGAGGAAAAGGAAACGCTCGCCAGCTATCTTCCTAAAATACTGGCATGTACGTAAATTTTTATTTTTATTTATTTTTATTTTTTCATTTTTCATTGGCTTAAGTAGCAAATTTTTAATATATATATACACTTTCACCAACCAATACCATCACGTTAAAAAAAAAAAAAAAAAAAAACCCAGAAAATCTCCAGTGAAAAATGGAAAATTACAGGCCCGAAACTGATGTGTACTCACTGTAAAAATCATCGACGCCGGAAGCAGCCCAGAGGCGTTGATTAAACTCATCCTGCAACTCATCTGGAACAAAGGATGTCCTGCATAGCGGACACGTCTTCTGATCATGGTCCATCCAACGGTCCAGACAAGCCCGGTGGAAAACATGCCTGCAGTTCTTCAACCACCTGATCTCCTCTCCGGCCTCGAACTCGTACAGGCAAACCGCACAGCTCTCCGGTGGGTCTCCCACCACCACCAGCTCCTCGAACTTTATAACGGGGAGAATTTCCCGGATCAGGAGGGCCGCCATGGGAGGGTTCTCGGGCATCCGAATAGGGCCTTCGGGCCAAGCCATGTCTGTCTCGAGGAAATCGGAGAGACCCACGTAATGGAAAAGGGAGAAAATCAGGTTTCTGATGAAACCCAGAAAGGAGAGAACGTGGACGAACAGTTTGGGCAAGAAAACCTCCGTGTAACCCACCGGAAATCCCATGGAAGAAGCAAAATTGAGCGAGAATTTTAGAAACACGGCGATCTGGATTGGATACAGTGAGATTTGGAGGAGAGAGAGAGAAAGATGGGCTTCAGTTTCTGTTTTCAGTTACGGACTTGTATGGGGCGGGGGGTGGGGGGGGTAAGGAAGCTTTTATATTACGGGAGCCATGAGGATGATAGGAATACTGGCTGTGATTATTGTAAATTTGACAGACCAATATGATGGATTTGTTTGAGTGGGGT